AACAGAAGTATGTGAGATTCTCACACATTGCCACTCATCACCTTGTGGCGGGCATCATGGGGAATCTCGCACAGCCGCCAAGGTTCTACAGTCAGGCTTCTTTTGGCCAACTCTATTCCGAGATAGTTACGAGTTCGTGAAACGGTGTGATCGATGCCAACGAACAGGGAACCTATCCAACAAAAGCCAAATGCCTTTGAACAACATGCAAGAGGTGGAGCTTTTCGATGTTTGGGGCATAGACTTCATGGGACCATTTCCTTCTTCGAACGGGAAGTTATACATTCTGCTTGCTGTGGACTACGTGTCCAAATGGGTCGAAGCAATTGCCACCACTGCCAACGATGCTCGTACAGTCCTCAAATTCTTCCACAAGAACATATTCTCAAGGTTTGGGACACCCAGGGCGATCATTAGCGATGAAGGATCTCACTTCTGCAACAAACTGTTCGCTAATCTCACGAACAAGTTGGGAATCCGACACAAAATTGCGCTTGCCTATCATCCACAAACAAATGGCCTTGCTGAGTTGTCAAACCGAGAAATCAAACAGATTCTGGAGAAGACCGTGAGCACGAACCGAAAAGATTGGGCGTTGAAGCTCGATGATGCACTTTGGGCCTTTCGAACCGCATTCAAGACACCGATTGGGATGTCTCCGTACAAACTCGTGTTTGGGAAAGCGTGCCACCTGCCAGTGGAATTGGAGCACCGAGCTTATTGGGCAGTCAAAAAGCTCAATTTCGATCAAACAGCCACCGGCAATCGTCGATTGCTTCAACTCAACGAAATGGAGGAGTTCAGAAACGATGCTTACGAAAATGCCAAAATTTACAAAGAAAAGACGAAAAAGTGGCATGACAAAAGGATTACGAAGCGAGAGTTTCGGGCAGGTGACCAAGTTCTGCTATTCAATTCTCGGCTACGACTATTTCCGGGAAAGCTTAAGTCCCGTTGGTCAGGACCTTTCGTTGTCCTGAGCGCAACGCCACAAGGAGTTATCGAAATACGAGGACGAGACGGTCCGTCGTTCAAAGTGAATGGGCAACGAGTCAAGCATTACTATCCAAATGGTGCTCCCGAGGAAGTGGAGCGTGTCGCACTAATTTTCTCCCAATAAATCCAAAAGAAGTCCAGCCGTCGACTGTAAAACAGGCGCTAAATGGGAGGCACCCCATTATTTCTCATTCTCTGTCATTTTTCTTTTATTCTTGCTTTCGTTTTCGTTTTTAGTCTTTTCTTGCATTTTTATATTTTTCTTAGGGTTCAATTTCTCTATCTCACCCGTTTAAATTTCAAATTTATTGCAGATTACAGATCCAGATCGCGATCCAGGAAGTCGGATCGCGATCTGGGGGGTCAAACAGAGGGTGAATTGGGGTCAGACCCAGATCGCGATCCAGGAAGTCGGATCGCGATCTGGGGGGTCAAACAGAGACGAAATTGAGGTCAGACCCAGATCGCGATCCAGGAAGTCGGATCGCGATCTGGGGGGTCAAACAGAGACGAAATTGAGGTCAGACCCAGATCGCGATCTAGGAAGTCGGATCGCGATCTGGGGGGTCAAACAGAGACGAAATTGAGGTCAGACCCAGATCGCGATCTAAGAAGTCGGATCGCGATCTGGGGGTGCAGACAGAGAGCAAATAGATGTTGGACCCAGATCGCGATCCGGTCTGTCTAGATCGCGATCTGGGGGCAAAAACTGCACTTATTCGAAAATTAAAACCCTTTTTCTCACTTCTTTCTTTTACAAAATTCGAACACCCCCCTTTCCCCCAACCCTAGAACTTCGATTTTCTTTCAAATTTCCTCTTCAAACTTGCATATTCTTAGATTTTCATCAACTATTAACGATTATTGCTTGTTTATATTGAGAATTGTGGACGAATCTTCAACAAAGGATGGTTAGTTTTCGAAAGAAACTAACATTCAAGGAGTTTCAAAGAACTTGCGCACGCCAAGTGTTCGACGAATTGCCCGAACCAGTTTCAAGTTTCATTTTGCACCCTCTTTCACACCATGACTTCACCGGCAAACAAACTCCAAAAGACGGGCGAGAATTCCAAGAAAGCCCAACCGAAAGGCAAAGGAAAAGCACCGGAAAAGAAGAAAGGCAAGGCTCAAGGCCAAAAGGGGGGAGAAGGATCTTCCCACTCGCCGTCGCATTTGGAGGAACCAAACGAGCAAGCCATGCCAAGAACCGGTGACGTGCCACTCAACACGGGCGCCCGAGCCAATCAACGCACGCTCGTGAGCGACGTCACCTTCGACGAACACGATGAAGACATCTACGTGAATGTCGAAGCAAAGAGCGAATTTATCGACCGCCTCCCTCGTCCGATCGTCTCGGAGCGTGAGTTGTGCCTCCGTACGATTGGATGCCCCTCGGTCGTCAAAAACATCCACGAAAGGTGGTGGAGAGCACTCGTCGACAAACCGGGCACCTACAACGAGAACTTGGTCCGGCTCTTCTACGCCAATGCCGGTCAGTACAAAGGATCGGTGGTCTTCATCCGGGGCGTCGAAGTTTGTTATGACGCAGAAACCATCAACCAAGTCTACAAGCTTGCCCCTCCCCGTGTTCCGGACATCCCGACCGAGCCGTTCCAGACACTGAAGATGGAGACGACGTACATGGACCTCATTCAGGCCCTGTGCCCCCGAGGATCGTATTGGCCAAAAGGAGATAAGTCGTTCTATCGAGCCGAGCTCTCGAGGGAGGCAAAGATTTGGATGTATTTCGTCTGCTCCCGACTCATGCCGACGGTTGCTACGGCCAAGCCCTATGCCACTCGCCTCACTTTGATTTACGCAATCATGAAGGGCACCCCTCTGAACGTGGGTGCCATTATCCACGCCGAGATTCGACGGTGCATGGGCGACACCTCTTTGGGCCCGATGTTCCCCTCCCTCATCACCACGTTATGCAAAAATGCCAACGTGGCGATGTTTGCCGACGACAAGGTCACAAGGGCTCCGAAGCCAATCTTCCCGTTCGACAAGCTCCAGCCAGCTTCCGGTCCACAGGGCGAGGGCGATGGCCCTGAGCCAGACGCGCCACCATCCGAACCAGCCCGAGCCGCACCACGAGGCGGCAAAAGACAGCAGACAGCAGCAGCAGCAGCTCCGCCACTTCCGGAGTATATGACCGAGTGGATGGATGCCATGGAGGATAACGTGGGCTGGTTCAAGAAGATGATCAAGGTGATGGCAGCAGCACTCCAGTGCAGGACGGACGACGTCGTCGAGCCACGACCATTCCCACCACGGCCTCGTTTTGACGGAGCATCTACCTCCACCGCAGCCGCAGAAATAGCTGCACGAGAGGCTGCCACCACACTGGTGAGGCCCCTCTGGGAGGAGCACGAGCGTGGACTTCGAGAGGACGTGGAGCAGGCTATCGAGGAAGACCATGACTTCTAGGGACGTTGTGTTTTCTATCCCTTTTATTTTTTTTTCTGCTTGTGAGCATAGGGACTATGCTAGAGTTTGAGTTTGAGGGTGGTGTCTGTTGAACCTCTTTGTTTTTGTTTCTGTTTTTTTTTTTTTTGGGATTAGTCGTTGGATTGATATTTCGTTTACGATGTATCTTTGCTAGACTTTGTTTTTATTTTATTTTATTTATCTTATTTTAATTTGGTCTTGTGCATGCATATCATATAATTAAGTTTCGTTTTTGTATTTCGATTTCCGTAATTGTGTTATGTTTGTCACATGCATTTCATTTAGGATCGAGTGTTATTTGCATTTCCGGGTTCTATTGAAGCAAAGCAATTAATGAATTAGTAGATGGGCTAGTTGATTTTAAAATTAAAATTATGGATAACCGGATAATTATAGATGAACCTTCCGACTGCGTTTTTGCAACTTGTGTGGATAGCCTTTCGAATCTTTTCCGATTAAGCTTGAGCGCACTTTTATGAGGGGTATAATAGCCTGAGGTTTTGGGGGGCGAGTTAGAATTGAATTATGTGTTCGCGATTTCGAGTTGTTGGCTAAAAGTTCTATCAATGGTCTTTACGTTTTTATTTTCCGTCAAAAAAAAAAAAAAAAAAAAAAAAAAAAGAAAAGAAGAAAGTGTGATGAAAATCACAATATATTGTTGTTGTCATGACTTATTGAATAAATAGACCTACTTATGCCCAACTCGAGTTTTTGAATTTCAGAATCAAAACTTGCTTTTCACCCACATTTCTACTCAAAACCCTCGATGATTGTGTTTATTGTTTAATTACGGATTCTTGAGTCTATCTTTCATTTTGGTGTAGAAACAACTAATTGCGTCGGTAGGAAAGTCGAATACCTTAAGCCGTATGCCATTTTGAGATTTTAGATTATCTAGCTCGTTTTATCTTTGGAATTAATTGCAATGCTTTGACCAATCCGGCAACTTTGTGGGTGTGTTGTCTGAAAACCCTCACGAGACACAACTCGTCCTTTGGGGGTACCCAGGGGTTCAAAGGCTTGTTGCATATGCTAAATGCAATCGTGATTCCCTACGTTAGTGGCCTAGTTTAGTTTGTTGTTTTTATTTCCTTTTTGTTGTTGTTTCGTTTTGATTTACTCGGGACAAGTAAAGATCTAAGTTTGAGGGTGTGATAAGTGTTCGTTTTGCACGATTTTTGCTTATCAAATCCTCGAGTTTTGGTCTTCGTTCGTCCGAGTTTCGGATTTATTTGTATATATTATTGCGTTTCTTGTTTTATTTCTATTTCAGGGTTTTATTAGGTATTTTTGCCGAGTCGAAGCCATTTGAAAGCGAAACCGAACTTTCAATTCAATTTTTAGGCCAAGAAGACCCAGATCGCGATCTGACATTCCTGGATCGCGATCTGGGGGTTGTCACAGCGAAAATGGATCAAGACCCAGATCGCGATCCAAACAACCCGGATCGCGATCTGGGGGTGCCGACAGAGAAGAAACAGGGGTCAAACCCAGATCGCGATCCAGGAAGCCGGATCGCGATCTGGGGGGTCCAACAGAGAAGAAATAGGGTTCAAATCCAGATCGCGATCCAGGAAGCCGGATCGCGATCTGGCATGGCGGTGGGCAGTTCCCCGAGGCTGCCAGATCGCGATCCAAACAACCCGGATCGCGATCTGGGCACGATTTTTGAGAAAGATATTTTGTTTTGCAAAGCTTCTTGAGGAAACTTTGCATTTCACTATAAATAGAAAGGCCCTTTCATTCTTCATTCCTTCTTCGACTTTTTACGGTTTTCGACGGTTCTTCGCGGGAATCATCAACGGGGGTTCCGACTTGGGTTTTTCTTACGCAATTTCTTTACGTTTTGTTCTTCATTTCCTTTGTACATTCTTTTGATACTATGTTTGTTATGAACTAAGAACATTTTCTTCTAGGGCAATGAAGCCTTGTATATATTGATTTCGATCGTCATTTCTGTTATCTATTTGTCGTGTTTTGATTTCGTTTATGTTTTCCTGTATTAAATGCTTCTGATTGTGTTGATCAGCTCTCAGATTGATATTAAATAGGAATGAACTCGAGAGAGGATTTCTTGTTTGAAGTTAGGAAAACATAGCTCGGGGTGTGGAAACGGAGACGTGATGCACTTCGGGTAGCCCTTAAGGACTTGACCTAAATGCTCTCTTAATAGCAGGTTCTGAACGGAGACGTCGGACCTGTGGGTAGACTCTAACTACACTGGAGACGGGGGTTAGAGTACTTTAGTGTCTGGGTTAACGAATAGGAATGTGGCATTAGATAACGGATTTGTAGATCGTTGTTGATTTTACATAGGTGGATTTGGCCCTAGAAGTCCCCTTAAATCGAAGTCCCCGCGTTGAGTTATCGTTACTTTATTTACGTACATTCTATATTTGCATGTTTACGATCTTGCATGCTTATAAATTAGGGTTTACCACCAATCCACTTATTTACGATCGGCTAGATAATATAACGATAATATAATTACACTACTCAGCATTTGAATCTACAAGGTCCCTGTGGATCGATATCCGGAACCACTGTTCTGCAAAATGCGATACCGTATACTTGCGGTAATTCATACGTAGGTTTTACGCGTATCACATATGCATCAGCAGTTGGAAGTCTGATGTATGCACAGACTTGTACTAGACCAGATATTAGTTATGCAGTGAGAGTACTTGGTAGATATCAAAGTAATCCGGGAATAGAACATTGGAAAGCAGCAAAGAAGGTTGTGAGGTATCTTCAAGGAACAAAGGATTACATGCTTACTTATAGGAGATCAGACCAATTAGAGGTTATTGGTTATTCAGACTCCGATTTTGCTGGTTGTGTAGATAGTAGAAAGTCCACATCGGGCTTTGTATTTCTACTAGCTGGTGGAGCAATCTCTTGGAAGAGCGTAAAACAAAGTATTATTGCTTCTTCCACAATGGAGGCTGAGTTTGTAGCATGTTTTGAGGCCTCGAATCATGCACTGTGGTTGCGAAATTTTATCTTAGGGCTTAAGGCTGTTGACTCAATTGCTAAGCCTTTGAAGATATATTGTGATAACACCGCAGCAGTTTTCTTCTCTAAGAATGGAAAGTATTCAAGTGGATCCAAGCACATGGATCTTAAGTACTTGGTTGTTAAAGAAAGAGTCCAGAAACAACAAGTGTCAATAGAAAATTTAAGTACAACTCTTATGGTTGCTGGTCCATTAACCAAGGGATTGCCTATAAAGACATATGAGGAACATGTTATTAGAGTGTGTCTTTTGAGCAATCCATGATTTGATGAGTTATGATTATGTAATTGACACTTAATTTATTTAATCAAATGTTTCTGTTTTTCTTGTTTCCTATTATGTGTGCACATATTATATTTGGATTTAACAGGATTTGTCCTAACAAGACAAAATTAAAGGGGCTATTATGGATTAGAATAGTAAGGGTTATTAGTGGCGTGATACATAGAAGGGAATATGATGAATGAATCATATAACCGCTATGATTCACATTAATAACTCAAACTAGTTCTAGTATTAAAGTACTCTATTTACCTATTATGGTAATCACCTTAATTTTTTTTTAAAATCGTGATCACGTGTCAAATGTTTTGTATGAAGAACCCACCGAGTCAAATATTTTTTAAACTTATTTTTCTTAATCGATTCAGTGGACCAAGTGGGAGAATGTTAGTTTTACGTTTTTAACATTTTATTTTTTGGTCCACTAATCTTTATTTTAATTAATTAAATTGTGGGTAATTCAAATTATGGTATTAAGGTGATTTTATGGTAATTGATTTGTAACGTTGAAGGCAATAAAAGACCATGATGGGTGGGATTTGTCTTCTGCCGTTACAAATCAATTGTGGCCCTCTTCTCTCGTCTATAAAAGAAATCCACAGCTCTTTTCCTCAACAATCAGACGTGAGTTGTGATATTAGAGAGATAGAGAGAAGAAGGTGTGCTACGAATAAAGTTCTCAAGCAGATTCAAAGGAGGCCTGGCTAGGCTCGGCTTGTAGATTGCTATCGTTCATCGTCTCTATCGAAATCTATGGCGAACGGTATGTCAATAATCTCTATTATGTGCTTATGTTCTTAAGATGAATTTGATTTCAAGATTCTGTGATTAAGGTATTCCGCATAAAATTAAATAAAAGTCTTTCACGATGACGATAGATGGTGGCGCCGATGAGATGTAATTCCGGCCAGTTAAGATGATGAGATAATGGTGGCGCCGGAGACAGGAGATTTGAAAGTAATTTTGCTTTCCGACGTTAAAACCGAAGAGGGAGAAGATTCTAAAAATTGCAATTTGATCCCAAATGTTTTGGATTCTTTATAACCAAGCCAAATTGTTTACACTCGAGGGGCAATTAGGTATTTTCTCATCAAAAAAATTCATCACCAGACGCACAAACCGCGAGTGAACGACACGAACTCCCACTAAGGGGGAAATTGCCTTTAACTAAAACTCTTTATATCACAAGGACTTTGGAAGCAATTAATAATTTCACAGGGGTAGTTTTGCAAAAAACCCCAAATGCGGTGGCATCTCGCCTACTTTCCACCTACCTACCACCAACCACCATCCTCGCCAGTACGCTAAAATACGCCGCTGATTTATCGAGACACGTGTCGCCGTATTGTTAAAATAGTCAAACAAAAAACCAAGATCCTCCATTCCTCACTTACTCTGCAACCTTTCTTCATCTTCTCGAATTTTTCCTCACTCGAAATCACGAAGAACAAATCAAATCCAAAAATAAAAATTAAAAATGCAGTCTTTAACCCTACTTACATCATCAAACATCCCCGCCTCAAAATCCAGCTTCAGACGCACAATTAACGCTCACAGAAACACCCAATTCCTCTCTCCCACATTCTCAAATCAAACCCTAGGGTTTGCCCCCATTCGCCAGATCCCTAAATCAAAATCCGATTTCGGTGCGCACCCATTCCGATTAACCCCCAAATCACCATGCCCGAACAAAATCAGAGCATCATCCGAAGAAGAAATCCCATCGGAATCCATCCCAGACGGCGCCGCCGAAAAAATCGAAACCGAAACCCTAACCCTAAAGCCAAACAAGAATCTCAAACTAGCCGTTGTGTTCGGCCTCTGGTATTTCCAAAACATCGTCTTCAACATCTACAACAAGAAAGCACTCAACATTTTCCCATACCCATGGTTCCTCGCAACTTTCCAGCTCTTCGTCGGATCCGTTTGGATGCTCGCCCTCTGGACACTGAAAATCCAACCCTGTCCTAAAATCGACAAATCCTTCGTCGTCGCGCTCCTCGGCCCGGCCCTCTTCCACACCGTCGGTCACATCTCGGCCTGCGTCTCGTTCTCGAAGGTGGCCGTTTCGTTCACACACGTCATCAAATCCGCCGAGCCCGTCTTCTCGGTCGTGTTCTCGTCTTTCCTCGGCGATTCGTATCCTCTGAGCGTGTGGCTCTCGATCGTCCCGATCGTGTTCGGTTGCTCGTTAGCCGCAGTGACCGAAGTCTCGTTCAATTTCGGCGGCTTGTGGTGCGCTATGATTAGCAATGTCGGTTTCGTGCTTAGGAATATTTACTCGAAAAAGAGCTTGCAGAGCTTCAAGCAAGTGAACGGGTTGAATTTGTACGGTTGGATTAGTATAATATCTCTGTGTTATTTATTCCCCGTCGCGGTAGTTGTCGAGGGTTCGCAATGGGTATCGGGTTATCATAAGGCGATTGCTACAATCGGAAAGCCTTCGACTTTTTATCTGTGGGTGATGCTTTCCGGGATATTTTACCATCTCTATAATCAATCGTCGTACGAAGCTTTGGACGATATTACCCCCCTCTCGTTTTCGGTGGGGAATACGATGAAGAGGGTGGTGGTTATTATTGCTACGGTTTTGGTTTTCAGGAATCCGGTTAGGCCGTTGAATGGGCTCGGATCTGCTATAGCGATTTTCGGGACTTTCTTGTATTCGCAAGCGACTGCGAAGAAGCCGAAGATTGTTGAAGGGGGTGAGAAGAAGAATTAGAAGGGGGTGGGGTTTTTTATAAGTTTTGAAGTTGTTTTTATTCGTCGAAATTATTTCGAGACATTTAGGTGTTTTTCGTTTTTTTATTTTATTTTCTATTATGAGCAGAGAGTTTTGAATGTTGTTTTATGGTGTTCTTTCGCTAGACATTGCCCAGTTTTAATGCTGATTTTTTGTCATATGCTTCCGTCGATTTTACGTTTGCTTGATTTGTGTTTGTTTTCGAGTTCTTTCTTGTTTGCGAATATTTATGGTTCTTCGATTTAGGTGTTCGTATGATATGTAAGTTATCTTGAACTGTTTGCTTGACAAGCAACGCATTTCGGATACTTTTCGTTGACCAACACTTGATGACACCTGCGGGACATTTTATAATTTCTTAAAAGTTAAGAAATATGTTTGAATAGCAAATTTTCAAACATCTTATGGGTTGTTTTGTAATTTCTGAAAAAAGTTAGAAACTTGTTTGAATAGCAAATTTCCAAATATTGTTGTTGTTTCCTTAATTATTTACATAATTTAATTATCTGTTGCACATAATTAATAGTTGATAATAATATATATATATATAAAAAGTACATATAAATAAAAACTAATTATATATATATATATATATATATACTTTTAATATTTACACGTTTCTCTCAAATTCTCGTATCCTCATCTGTGTGGACATGTCTTGTTTCCCCATTTTCTCGTATCGCAGTTTTCGTGTCTGTGCTACATAGGTTTAACTACAATATTCATGTTATTACTATATTATCTATTAACCCTTTTAGGAGAATTTGTGTTCAATTCACTTATAAAAAACAAAAAGACAAGGGCAAATTACAGTCACCCTGAAGGCCAAATTACGAGGGAAAAGAACCCTTCTTATTTGGTTAATTATAACCACCCATAAATATGTCTTTATGAAAAAAACCCTCAGGAAATTTGATACCGTAAGGCTGAAAATGTAAGACAATACATAGTTGTGGTGTGGTTGTAATTACCCAAACAGAAGGGTAGGTTTTGTAATTTGTCCTTACCTTATGGGGTTGGCGGCCAAAATAATAGTTATAATTATTTTTTGTTATTTTTTTTATTATTATTTGAAAATAAACTAGGGTTTTGTTCATATTTTCTAATGAGGTAAATCCAATTTTTTTCCCCCTTTTTGAGATAGATCCAATTTTGCCAACTTGGCAAAATATATTATATAATTTTCCTTTAATACCCCTGTTTTATTTTTAAAAGGCATTTATTTCCTTTACTACGTGATTTGAGATTTGCTGATACGTTGCCTAAAATCACGGAATAAAATTACGTGAGATCATTGGCCGTTATATCAAATCGTGTACAATATTTTTCGAATGTTCTTTATCGTATTTTTCGTTTTTATTTTTCGCTCAATGTCTAGGATTGTCGATTACGGTGGTTAGAAATTTTAAGGGTTGTGTTGATACTTGATTCTATGAAGTAGAACGTTTTTTAACAAAATTACGTCGTCATATATACATCGTTATTTTTGGCGGATGATGTTTGTTTGGCAGAGGATTGACAGAGTTAGAAGAAGATGCTTCACGCAGATCGGACCAGAGTTATTTTATATGAGCTTCGTAGTTGGTTTATGCAATAATCGGAATAATTGTCCGTTGTGGTCGAGTTCATGTTTTTGATCCCGATCGATAGTTGGTTTATTTGTTTATAACAGCCGATTTAAGTGTGCTGGGTAGTACATTAAAATATAGTTCGTAGTGAATTTTGCATTTTAAGTTTATTTTTTATGATATTAATGTATTGTCATTCAAATGTATTTGCAATCTATTTAATCATTTTTTAGTATTCTGCATTTTTTATTTTGTTTCATGATTTTAGGTTTTTTCGATGGCGAATTTCGTAAGGATTTTGTTGAGGTTTGGTGGGTTGGTTGCTATAAAGAGGTGTTTACGATGTAATGGCTCGGTAACTTCGGTTAAGTTTTAAACCGTTGTAATACAGTAGTATACTATTATGAATATCGTATGATACTACCATTATCATTTTATTATACTATTATGAGATTATTAATGTACTAGAATTTTTTAACTCGACATATTGATTTTATTGTGTTATGATGTGGTTTATGTATTTTATCAAAACCCTAGATTGAAATTATGAGATTATTAATGTACTATTTTATTGGTTATGTTGGAATATTTTACGTTGGTGTTGTTCTCAATGTTCTTGTCATTTCAGTGGTATATTGTTTGTAACACAATTCATATCACTACTATAACCGTAATATACTATCATAGCAGATCAATGTACTATATTGAAATTATTAATATACTACGTGGTTGAATAATACGGGATCCGTAGTCGATTAACGAGATCCATAGTCGAATTAGATGAATAAGATAGTATAATACATGATATAAGGAAAATTACCCTAATTGATTAGTATTTCAAACAAACATATTATTCAGTTTCCATATATATTATTATTTTTTCATATATATCATTATTTACCCTAATCGTTGTCATATAATAAGGAAAATTACCCTAATTGATTAGTATTTCAAACAAACATATTATTCAGTTTCCATATATATTACTATTTTTCCAATAGTCATTTAACTAAACCCATAGTCGATTTAGATACATGGGATAGTCTATTAAAAGATATGAGATAGTCTATTAATTTTAAAACACAAATCCGCCGTCGTCACTTCTCGAATCTAGGGTTTTGATAATTCTTCGGCCCATAGTCGATTAACGAGATCCATAGTAAAATTATACGAGTGGGATAGTCTACTAAATGATATGGGATAGTATATTAATACATATGTAATTCGACTATGCATCTCGTTAATCAACTATGGGCCGGAGAATTATCAAAACCCTAGATTTGAGTAATACTATATTTGAGTAACCCTAGATTGGAGCAGTGACGGCGACGGCGACGGCGGCGGCCAACGACGATATCACTTCTGGTGGATGTCCTGCCCATCAATTGTTGCAATATCACTGATTTAGTGCTCGAATGCGGTATGCGATTATAACAGATCTGCAAATACACAAACGTGATAGTCGATTTAGCCAAAACATATCAACAAATCGATGGATGATAGCGATTCAGCGTGGCGACGACGTACCTACGGCAGCTTGCTCGGAGTGCACGAAAATCGTCGTTTCACGGCAGTGCAGACGTCTTCCCCTTTCAATCGGCCGCACCGGGAAGTTGTTCTGGGAGGTTTTGCAGTTTATTCGATAGTGGGGTTTGGGATGATAGTGATTTAACGGGAAAATAGGAAGGGATTTGATTTTATTTCAATTTTATTTCAAAAGGTAAAGTAACGGGTTTTGTGGGATTTGATTGAGGGTAATTATGTAATTAGGAAAAGTTTGGGTGTTATCAAAATGACAAATATAAATTTGGGTATACCCCTATTATTTGAATGTTTAAGGGGGTTATATATAGACTCAATAAACTAATCAAGCAAATCCGATCAAAAAAGTTACTGTACATTGATCAGATATCAATGTAAGAAATAAATACAATTCCAATTCCAATTCCAATTCCAGCTGAAAAAAGAGTTAATGCAGTGACCAAACATCAAACAAAACCAGGGCTTTCTTCCTACCCCACTCTTCCATTTTCAATTTTCCTTGTTTAATTTATCAGCAGAAGCAGGAAAATTAACCCAACTAACAGTGGTAAAAATGGTGACTCCTTCCAAGCGAGTTGCTCAACTCGCCGCGGTGAAAATGGAGGTACGTGTTCGTCGTATTTGCATGACAGTTAAACCCTTCAATTTTTTGGGGAATTTTTTTTTAATGAATATTTGGTGCAAAATTATGTGCATTTTATCTGATTTTTTTTCACGAAATTAACCGTGTGGGTATGATGTAGATAATATTCAAACCGGAATCTCAATCATTGAGTTGAGTTCGTGAAGCTTCTTAGGGTTTCAATCTGTTCGCTAATGGCGGAAAAATTGAAAAATAAAATAAAATTGGATTATCAATTTATTTCAACTCGATTCATGATTGATTCTCTTTTCCAATTCGATTTTAAAAAAAAATCATTTTCTTTTTGTGTGTGTGTGTGTGTCAGTGTGTAAAACGTTTGATGTAGTACTCTGTTTTGATCTACAAATGCCTCTCTTTTTTTACAAGTATAGATCTGATTAATTTGATTACTTTTATATAGGCCTGCACAACAGAAAATGCTCCGGAAAATGAAGAAATCCGACACACTCGATTCGGTTCGAATTCCGAACCAGCTAAATTAGACGAAGATGAAATTCGTTATCTTTCGGGGAAGCCATATTTCGATTTGGTTTTATCGAAATCGCATATCAGCCACACCTTCGGACTGGTAATTACTCTCGACTCTCGTTCCCACTATTTTCTCCTCCGATAATTTTTTTCGATTTTTATATCGTATCACTACTAATTATTAAATTATTAATATCTGAATTGTATTCCCGGAACTTGGATCAAATGTTACCGGAAATAGAAAGTCGTTCGTATTCTGTTAGCTGATTAATTAGTATAAATGATATATAGGGATCGATAACGAATTAACCTCTCTTGATTTAATTCAGGGTAAATCCATAAATAACCGTATTAACTGTATTAATCTATGACCGAAAGTCTTTGGTTTTTGGTGACAGTTATTTCCCGCCTCGATGATTCGAGAACTTCCTCGCGCCACTATCCCCGCTGTTCTAAAAAACGGCGGTAAAATTTGGAACATGTCTTATTGTGGAGGTGGGGTCCGCCCTAAGCTCGACTCCGGATGGAAAACATTTGTGGCTGACAATAATTTGAAAATTGGAGATGGTTGTGTTTTCGAACTAATGGAGTCGACCGGTACGAATCTCGTATTCAAAGTTATGATTGTGAGGGGCGATATTCCAACCGAACTGCAGGAACTGATCGATTCTCGTGGTAAGTCTGGCGATACACCTATAGTTCTCGACTAGTTGGCCTACGATGAAAATATCTTTGTCTTGTACTCTGTAATTCGATGTTTCAAGGGTTTTTTTTACGTGTTCGTTTCGAAGTGGGAAATAAAATTGGGGGAACAATGGAGTTAATTCATATGATGTGTAAGTTATCTTGAATATTGATTTTCGGGTATTGATATGCCGAATCTGATCCGATCATCTACGGTTTTGGAATAATATTTTTCATTCGAAATCTCAAAAGCTTATATTTCATTTTTTTTAAATAACGGATCGAAATTGGAATATATACTAGATTTTGATTTCCAAAAAAATTGAATTTCCTTTGAAAATTACACTTACAATATCAATATTATTATGTATTTTATATTATAAGATAGACTAGAAAATTTGAAAATTCCGAATTCCACCGAACATTGTTGTTATTATTTGATCAACATATTTCGATATGTCCCTCAGGATTTGAGAAAGGGAAAATAAAGTCTTGTAAAATACTATAAACATAAAGTTTCAATCTATGTAGTTCGAAAACATCATTTTTTTAGCTTTTCGTACGCGTTTTGTGTCCGATATTCGAGAACACCTGTTGGACACCTTATGGGCCATTTTGCAATTTCTAAAAGTTAGAGACACGTTTGAATAGCAAAATTTTAAATATTTTTGTTACTTCCCTAATTATTTACATGATCAATTATAAAATTGACAGTTGATAGTAAAATATATTTTAAATATGTTTGTACGAAAATATAAAAAAATAATTTATATATAATAAATAAAAAAAACTTATATATTTTTATATAGCATATTTATAAATATACCTCTATATTTTTAATATTTACACCCCGTATCGCCGTTTTCGTGTCCATGCTATATATATAGGTTCCAATACTTCTTTGATTTTGATTCACTAAATTTTTTTTTTAATAATAATAATAATTTTTCTAAATAAATACTCTAACCTAATCCACCTAACCCAATCCAAAAACTTACTACATTGATCAGATAAAAAATTAAGTACCGTTCCAACAGAAAAGAAAGTAAATGCAATTTACTTTATAAATCAAAACCCATATTTCTTCCATTTTCAAGTTTCCTTGTTTACCAGCAAAAGCAGGACAAAACTCAAAGTAACAGAGGTAAATTAATGGTGAGTCCTTCCAACCGAGTTGCTCGACTCGCCACGGTGAAAATGGAGGTACGTGTTCGTCATATATATATATATATATATATATATATATATATATATATATATATATATATATATATATATATATATATATATATATATATTTGCATGAGAGTAAAACGCTTCATTGTTTAATTGTTATTATTTTTATTGTTATTATAAAGTATAGATCTGATATTTTGTAGTACTTTTGTATAGGCCTGCACAACGGAACATGCTCCGGGAAACGAAGAAATTCGACGCGCTGAATTTGATTCGAGTCCTGAAGCAGCCAAAGCAGATGAAGATGAAATCTGTTATCTTTCAGGAAAGCCGTATTTCGATATTATTATAGGAAAAACACATCTCAACCGCCCCCGTGGACTGGTAACTACTCTCGATCGGCTCTCGTTTCCATTATTTTCTCTTCCGCTAATTTTTTTTTCTTCTATTTTTCATATGCATCAGTACTTGTATTAATATTGGATTCTATTCACGGAACCGCGCTCTTAGATGCTACCAGATTGTGTCGGATGCAACATTCAATAATATTAACGTGTTTTTATTCCGTTAGTGAATTTAGTTCGACAATCGACGAATTAATAGCGATTCTTGGTGTAATCCAGGGTAATGTTGGTGCCATTATTAACTATATTAATCCATGGCAAAGGAAAGTTAACGAGTAGTACTTACATATTTAACACAATTTATAAGGACTCGTTTGGTTGGGGAAATTAACCATGATTAACTAATAATTGAACTGTGTTTGATGTTTGGTAAACCCAATAATTTTTCTGGTCGATTCAGAAATATTATTTTATCATGGTCCATTTTGCCTTTTAGGGAGATTATGTATTGGACTTTCCAAAGTCCAATAATACAATTGGTTTTCATTAGAGTACTTTATCTTATCTTGGCAACCAAACGAGCCCTAAGGCCTTGTTTGATTGGGAAGATTGATAAGATCAAATAATTAATCTGATGCAAACCCGATTGTATTATTGGACTATGGAAGGTCCAATACATAATCTGCCCAAAAGGCAAGATAGACTGTGATAAAATAATATTTCTGGGTCGACCGGGAAAAATATTGGGTTTACCATACATCAAACAAAGTCCAATTATTCAGTTAATCGTGCCTAAGTTTCTCAACCAAACGAGGCCTTATAAGAAAACAAAGCATAATTTTTATTTACAGAAGCGGCCTTCGTTTAATTTGTTTGTTGATGACAGTACCCTCCTATAAGTATGACTCAACGGCTTCCTCGTGCCACGATCCCAGCTGTTCTAAGACACGGTGGCAAAACATGGAACATGTCTTATTGTGGAGACGCGGCTCGGCCGAGGTTCGACTACAAATGGAAAGCGTTTGTGGCCGACAATCATCTGAAGGTTGGAGATGGTTGCGTTTTCGAACTTATGGAGTCGGACAGTAGAAACGCCGTATTCAAAGTTATGATCGTGAGGGGCGAGATTCCGCCTGAACTGCAGGCGTTGATCGATTCCCGCGGTAAGTCCGAGGCGGTACCTATAGTTATCGACTAGAAACTCAATCTTTGTCTCGTCTGTAATTCGCTCGTTTTTTTGCGTGTTCGTATCGAGTGCTGTACGTGCATTGAATATTGGTGCTGTAGTTTGTCTTGCGGATGTTCGGATTCGTGAGTTTCTAAATTCGGGCATGTAATAGATACTGGATGGGAAAGGGTGTATACGCCAAAAGGTTAAATGTTTGGGGTGTGTTTACTAAAAGACCAAAGTTCAGGGAGGTGAATGCAAATTAGTAATTACCCTTTAATATCGCAAGATTGAAATAGTTGTTCTGCAACACTACATTCATTATTCATACAAATAGTTGCTCTTCCTCAATTTGATTTAAGTGATGTGAGTATGTAGCCTTTAATTTCTTTTTGAATAAAAATTATTACTATAAAAAACGTAAATGTTTAAATATACAAATTTCCTTTTAGTTTCAAAAATGATTTTTGTGAATAATTTATATGATTTTTTTTTAATCCATAATTGCACAAAATATTTGAAATATACAGTTGAACTTTGTAAACTGAACATCTAACAGGGTGTCTGGATAATTTTTTTTCTAAGAAGGGAAGTCCTGTAATTTCACTAACTAAGAGGGGTTAAAATAAAATATTAACACAAATTAAAAAAATTAGCCCCAAATTTTGAAAGGTGCAGCGATATGAAACCCTAGGCACAATCAATTCAATTTTATTTGACCATTCGTCTCCAATTTGAATTTTCCTTTTCACCCGCAAAGCCAAAACCCCCAAATTAACAACGGTAATATGTTGGATAATTCAAAACAAGACGCGGTGCAAAAGAAGGTTCGTGCGCGTAATATTTTTTTATTATTTTTTATTTTTCTTGAGGATATAATATTGCATTGCATGCGAATAAAACCCTTCAATTTTTTTGGGAAAAAAAAATCAATCTGTAATTTTGAATTTCTTCGAAAAAATTGTAGCAGAATTAAATCAGTTGAAGAAGGTAAGATAAAGTTGTAAGCTTTGTTTTGATCAGCCAATTGGATTTATTTATTTAATTTTTTTATTTTTTATTTTTAATTGGAGATATGATCGTGTTCATGTACTTTGTTCAGACACAGGCTCCAGAGCATGAAGAAATCGGAAGCACTCGATTCGATTCGATTTCCGAAGCAGCTAAAGCAGATGAAGACGAAATCTGTTATCTTTCGGGGAAGCCATATTTTGATTTAGTTTTATCAAAATCACATTTGCTGCCCAATGGACTGGTAATTACCCTTGTGCCACTAACTTCTTTTTCTCTTGATTGCTACGTAATTGTCGAGCTTTGGTTTGTTGCATTAAAAGAATCAATCGATTCGTAGTAGATCGGTTTTTTGTGATCCAAGATAATTTGACGTGTTTTCGATTTTATATGACATGTGTAGTAAATAGTAATATTGGATTGTATTTGCCAAATTCGGATATTACCGGATTTTGTCGTCCCTCCGTTTTTATAGTAAGTGTCGTTTATCGTAAATTCACACAGATTAAGAAACCTAATAAATAGCCTCATTTTTATGGAAAATCCCCAAATTGCCCTTTACGAAACTATTAAATGAGCTTTTAATATCTAAACAACGAGCTTGAACAATAAATGATAAAAGGGTAATTTGGGGATTTTCGTGCAGTGATCTTACTTACGTAAGTCTTTGGTTATTTTTGACAGTTCGTGCCTGTCACTATTAGTAGCACGCTTCCTCGTACAACTGTCCCTGTTGTTCTAAGACACGGTGGCAGAACTTGGAACATGTCTTACGTCGGGAACATGGTTCGCCGTAGGTTTGACAGCCAATGGAAAACATTTGTGGCCGACAATAATCTGAAAGTTGGAGATGGTTGTGTTTTCGAACTAATGGAGTCTAGCGGTACGAATCTCATATTCAAAGTTATGATTGTGAGGGGCGATATTCCACCTCAATTGCAGGAACTGATCGATTCTCGTGGTAAGTCTGACGAGGCACCTATAGTTCTCGACTAGACTCGGTTCATTGAATTCGATGATACAGTTATATGTCATAGAATTGTACGTCTCGAATATCTCTAGTTGACTCTTGATGAAATCTTCGACTTATTAATATTCATTTTACATGTTCGTTTCAAGTCTTGTTGATTGTTGCTATAGTGTTTGGGAAATTCATGCAACCCTAGGAAAAAAATACGAAAATTTACGAAATGTGACAAAAATGAGTCATCGAATGATTCTAATAGATCTTGTGATTTTGGGAATAACCCGATTTACGGAATCTTAAATCTAATTTTTCTATGATTTGATATTGATTTTTATGAGTATTATTAATCTTAATCGAGACGAAATTCAACTCTCATCATAAGATGAAAATGATTTCAACAACGTAGTTTGAGTACTATGTTTCTGGTGTTTCTCCATCCGTTTGTACGTAGCCTTAGTTCTAAGAAAAAGCAACGAACTAGAAACGAAACCTAGCAACGAGATCAACCACCACCACACAAAAGTATCACGGTAGCAATCCCTGCCAACACACACCGTCGATCCATCCCTCGTAGCAGCAATCTTGTCTGAATTTCCTATGTTTGCTTCGTATATTAGAGCTGCAAGAAGACTGTAGAGTAGCGATCCAATCGGAATATTCGTGATTAGAATATTGTGATTTACTCCAGCTCTGTTCGGACCAAATAATTCTGACGTAATCGAAACTGCTGCTGAAAAGACAAAACCCGAGCTTAGTCCGATCATGGCTGTGGCAGTGACAAGTGTTGCCTTACTGTCTGAAAAAACGAGCAGGAGAAATGCAAATGGCGTTGGAATAAGGGCCAATGCGAGCCATCCGGTTCTTGCGTAATAAATCTTGCTGCATTATTTTAAAAGGTATGAAGTTAGAATTCGTGGGCAAAAATGGAATAATTTATTTTGTTTCAGTTTTACCGGTACCGTTTCGACTATTAATGTGATTTTTGCCTTTTTACATTCCGAACTTGACAAAAGTCGAAAGTCAGCTCAAAGGACAACAAGTTCAGTGTTTTGACTTTTGCCAAATTCTGACTGAAAAATGGTTAAAAATTAGGGTAAATTACAACCAACCCTAGGTATGATAAAATTACGAAAACCCCCTTCTGTTTGGGTAATTACAACAACCCCTCAACTATAAATTTTCTTACACGTCCACCCTTACGGTTTCAAATTTAGTGGAATCTTCCTGATTATATGGAATATTGTCACTTTTGTACCCGTTTTATTCCATTCGAGCTCCACATTGTGAAGCAAGATGATCATAAGATGTGTTTTTTGGCTTGTATATATCAGATTGTGGTGCATCAAAAACTGTATTTTTACACATAACGAGTACAAATTAGAGCACATTGCACGGAATCTAGATGATTATGTTGAATTTGACACCATAAGGGTAGAGGTGTAAGAAGATTCATAGTTGAGGGGGCTAAATGTAATTATCCAAACAAGAGGATTTTTTTAGTAATTTGACTATACCTCAGGGGGTTGGTTGTAATTTACCCTAAAAATTATAATCGCATTCGAAGTCGGAACTGTACCAGTAAAACTGAAACGACATTTATACTTACTGTCTGAAGAACTCTGGGGTAGTGGAAAGTAACCGACCGAAAAACGAGCACGCGGAATAGAGAGAAACAAGGGAGCCAACATCCGAATGAAAACCTAGTGATTCCGAAATCTGACCGAGGTTGTTACTGTAAACCAGCCCTAACGTACCTCCACATAAATACGCAACATAGTAAAGCCAAAAATCCCGACTCCGAATCAAAACCCTAGTCGAGTGTTCGTCTCCGAGCACAACTCCCCGGTCTTTAAATAGATCATTCGACTCGCTGTCTGAAAAATCATTAGGGCTTTGAGTTTCAGTTTCTTTATCGACACTAGAACCTTCTAGATCGAATCGAACTAAGTGAGGAAGTACTACTAACAGAAATATAGCTCCAGATAAGACGAAACGAGCGATGGATACATTTGTCGATATTGGATTTAGAATGAGGAGATATAGGCCTGTAATAACTGCTAGTGCAGTTAGGTAGTAAAAGTTGGTTGGGATGTGGTTATCGGATGGGGATGCTTCGTTGGACAGGTGGCGGGTGGTGATTGGTGGAAGAGACACGATGGATGTGATTAATGGGATAACGGCGTTAAGGAGAAGGTATAGTTTTTTATCGTTCGGATTAATTGAATTTGCTACGAGGTTGTATATAGCAGCACTTAGACCGTTGAAACTTACGCCAAGGGATAAAGCTAGTGCCCTGTTTGTTTCGAAACTTTTTATGCAGAGAACGTAGCATACTGTGTTGAACCAGCAAATGCTACAGCCCGATAGTAACGAAAGTAGAAGCACCTGCAGAAAAAAAAATCAGAAATCGCAAAATTCGAAATTTAGAATCAAGAATTAGTGTACAGTTTTTTTTTTAAGTTTTATTGTTCGATATTATTTACTCCGTTTTGAATTTGGTTGTCGTTTATGGTTTACTCGATGAATGTCGGAAACGATTATTACGTAGGGAGTGTTTGGTAATATTGCATATCGAATTATCAATTCGATTAAAGTAGATTATAGTTCCTGGAAAGATTGCTTTGCTTGCAAAACAGTCATTGGAAAAATAAGTGAAGGACAGGAATTTAAAAAATAAAATAAAAAAGGGACTTAAAAAGTTATTTTTGATAGGCAAGCATTGTCCAATTAAATAAAATAAACCATGATATTATTATTATTATTCGATTATTTGGTAAAATATAAATAAAAGCTTAATTAATAATATTAACCACCTAAATTATGGAAAGTTAGTTGTCTTATGTTAGGTGGAACCAATACTAGTTCACCAACCCTTAATGAACACCAATTTTGCAGCAACTCCATTTACATTCTTTTTAAAATTAAGGCCACCCCAAAAGTAAGGTCAAATTACGGAAAAACCCCTTTCGTTTGGATAATTACAACCGCTCTCTCAACTATGAATCTTCTCACACACATCCACTTTTGCGGTTACAAATTTAATGAAATTTTATAGATTATGCGGAACATTCTCCCGTTTTACTCTATTTCAGCTCCACATTTGGAAACAAGATGATTATAAGATGTGTTTCTTGACTTGTAAATATCATATTGTGGTGCATCAGAAAACTGCATTTTTGCATGAATCGAGTACAAACCAAAGAGCATTCCACGGAATCTCGAAGATTCTATTGAATTTGACACGATAAGGGTGGATGTGTAAGAAGATTTATAGTTGAGGGGTTCGTTGTAATTACCCAAACAAGAGGGGGTTTTTCGTAAATTAACCTTTAAATGGAGAAATTGATTTATTCATTTTCAAGAAAATATATCAAAACAAATCTAAAACAATTTGTATGCATGAAAATTAGTAGCTTGTAAGAGGAAAAAATAATAACTAAGAGAAGGGCAAACCAGTATATAAGGCAAAGAGATGATCTGGTGAATGACAAGCCATTGGAGACCATAACCGAAGAGTCCGACGAAAGCAGCGAAGAAGAGAACAAACCATGTCGGAAAATACAAGAGAGAAACACCCGAGCACCAACCGAATGCCTTTCCGAAATCGGAAGCAACCGCTAAGTAGTTGAGCTGCACCTGAGATATTCCTAGTGCCGATTTCATGTCGCTCGAGTACGACGAAAAGTCCAAGTTTGTTCCGGTGAATGCTTGTATCCATATTGTCGCCACCAAAACCATCCATTTTCTTGATTCTCTTACCATATTGTTTGAGAGAGAGAGAGAGAGAGAGAGAGAGAGAGAGAGAGAGAGAGAGAGAGAGAGAGAGAGAGAGAGAGAGAGAGAGAGAGAGGGCCTAACTAACATTTGACCTTTGATTGTGTGAATTTTTAATCAGTTATACAATGTGTCATGGAATTTTATTAATAATTTAAATAGGGGAGATAGGAAGATATAAAATTGGCACATTTTTTTGGACCGGCTTTTTTGAGCGATGTGGTCAAACGTTAGTGTGTCGGGTTTTATTACAAGCAAAAACTCTTCGACGCTCAAGTTAACTTTCGACTTAAAAGTTGCTGGAAAAAAATTCAAAAGTGTATTAATAGAGTTGTATATTGTGTACCTTAAATTCTTAAATTAGGACAAATTATAACTGTGAACTGATTTTTACCGTATTAAAATTACGAATACCATTCACTCACCAAACTCCTTTCTATCTCTAAACCCACCTGAACCTACAAAACCTCCAAAATTCACAGGAATCCTCGCAAACTCATCTCAAATCATCTCAAAATCATTGAAAATTTGAAGATAATTTCTACTCTAAATTAGTTATAAATCAATTATTTAATGTTTATTTTGTTAATTACATGTTAAAAACCCAAAAATTCAAAATGTAGGTGTTTTTTTTTTCTTTCCTAGAGGAGCTCGCCACATTTTTGTTTGCAAATCTCTTCAACAAGATGAGTTTCGGTACGATTCAAGATATAATAGCTTCCGATGATTTTTTTTTTTCTAAAGAGAGATAAACGAAAAATAGTAAAGTGAACGATATTCGTAAATATGGAACCATAACTGTTAATGGGCTTGAGCCTATTGCATAGACTTGGCCGATAAATTAGGGCAGATACCACGCCCAAGTCGGGCGCCG